TTTTCGTAGGCCCCTGAATTTCGCAGGCCTTAGGCACGTGACTAGTGTGCCTATAGGTTAATCAGGCCCTGTCCTCAGGGATGTTTCCCAGACCCATTGTGCCGCTCTACTGCGACGTAAAAATGACACAAAAAAGACAACCACAAAACGAAAACCTACAAACGAAACCTACAACCACAAAAAAAAAAGAAAAAAAGAAAACCACGAAAAACAAGTAAGCTAAAAGCGTGAAAATGTTTTTTTGCACAATTCTTGGAAAAAGGTTTGATTTCAACAATTTTTTATAAACAAGAAATTTACTCATTAGTAAGAGATAACAAAGCTGAAATAATTCCTTTGCTAGTTTAAGACAATGCTTAATATTCAAGGAACCAGTTCATTTGTTTATTTATTTCCTTGATAAATTTATGTTTATTCTATAATACGTAGCTTTGTTAATCTGAAATGTTCTAATGTTTTTCAACATTATTATTTCTCAGAATTCCAATTGCGATTTTTAATTGAAGTATTATTTTTATTTCTTTGCTTTGTAACTTTTATGTTAAGAAACTAAGTTTGCAGTGTTCATTCCTGATCTTAAAAAGGGCAGGGCACTGGAAACTGAAAAAAGCTCTTAAAAAAGGGCGCCCAACACAAAAAAGAGCATTATTTACAAATATTTGCTTCACTTTTATGACACCTAATATATACAAAATTTTTAATTTTATCAATAAAATTTTTGTTAGAGATAATTAGTTTAAACTAAAAAATAAATCCAAGGTTAAATTGGCACATTCTATAAATTGGTTTTAAAATTAGTGTAATCCTCAAATTTTGAGAAAGTTGTGTATCATAAAAATAACTTATTAAATATATCGAACACATGTTTTTTTTCCTTTTAATATATTGGGGTGCAAAATCAGGTTCAAAAAGCATTTGGGACAAAATTTTTTATTCAAAAGGCAAATGGGACCCCTTGCAAACCTTGCCTAGAAGTTTATATGAACAATAATTTCCCTGATTGGTGTGTTTTTCTTTTAAAAATTGCCATTATGTGCACCAAGGGAAACAATTAATTTGGATGAATATTACAAATGTTGTCTAAAATAATTTTATGAATCGCACCTAACAGTGGTTATGTGTTTTTCTTCTTTTTGTTGTTAGTTGCAAACTTTTACTAATGAAAGTTAAATGTTAATAGTTAAATGTAAATGAAAAGTTCAGTAGAAAAAATTTTTGAAAGCAAAAATTTTAGTTCCTTATCTACTACATATCTAATTAATTAGCTTATTTAACAATGATTGCTTATATATTTTTAAATTGTCATTTATATTGGTTATGAGTTTGTAAAGACAAATTTTATTGCTATTGGTAATATTTGACAAAATTATCTTAGAAAACAGTGAATTTAAAATTTATTTCGAAAGCTCAATTCATTTTGTTATCAATTGCATGTACTAATGTTAATAAAATTGTTCTCTTAAATAATAAAATTAAAGTCAAGTTGCCATTTAATGAATTTTACGTTTAAGATTATGTTTTTGTTCTTCTGTGATGTAGTTCATTTATTGTACCCTTATTAAGTAAGTTTGGTTTAACAGAAAATGAACGCATCATTTTTGTTTATTCATTTTCCAAATTTTTTAGTACTGTGTATTAGTTTATTTATTTTCTTTCTTATTTATCATAAGGGTAAAAAAATAAGGAACATTTTAATGCATTGGATTTAATAGAGTTCTTATTTCCTATATTATAAAATTTATCCTGTTATTTCAGTCTAAATATCCGATTTACTATTAGTTATATGATATATATTTACAGAATTTTGTTCTAGACTGACCTTACACTTTGATCACCATAATAGTAAGGCCACTTTTGTAATGACATTTTTTTTGTTTTCCAGTGCATAACTGTAATGAAAAGAATGCAGTACTTTAATAGAAATCCAGAACAACCTTTTTTAATTCTTTAGTGAAAACAATTAACTTTTCCAGCTTCCTATACAGTTTGATTATGAGGTTCCTTACAAACCAGGCATGTTAATGACAATAATAGAAATAAATTGTAACTAATGATATTTTATTATTGTCTATATGCTTAATGCTAATACATTTACATATTTATAACTGCCAACTCTAGAGAAGTTTTCGATAGTTTACTCGATTGTCCAGTAGGTTTCTGGATTCATTTCATTGTTTTGTTAAGAAAATTTCGTAAAAACTAGTTCAGTTAACTTTTTGTTCACTGCACTTTTTTTGTATTAGTTCTTTACAACTATTTAAAATAAATTCAGTTTTGAAAACTAGAATTTGTAAAATATCAGCATAATAAATACTTATTGAGTAAGTATTTATTATCAAATCTTGACTGTTCCCTTTCAGTAATCCTTGACACCATTAATTCCTTTAACAACATGCATTGTAAACTTGAGTTTTCATGCATCGTAAAGTAAACTCTTCTCATTTGCATTCTAGGGTCCACGTGAGAGCAGCATACCTTTTTTTCTCTAGCCATTATTTGTAAAATTATAAGTGCAAGTAATATTTATGTTCATTTAAATACAACTGCAGACTAAAAGCATGCAGCTAATTTAAAATAGCAGTTTCCTTTAATTGTTCATAAAATCTCTAAAATTTCCTTTTTCTAGACAGTTATCTATAAGGTTCGAGAGTTGATGTGAAATTTAAATTTTTGTAAAATTCTTAGATTGATTTTCTTTTCATGCTGACAACTATGCTTATTTATGTACTTAATTTAAAATATTTTTTTTCTATCTAGATGATGAAAATGTTTGAGGTGCTTGAAATCTTTTAGGAAACTGAAGGTTGCAATCATGGATTGATGGTGATATCATTAGTAGTCAAAACAAAAAGCTATCAGCTGATCTGATCATTAGTTAGTAATTAAACTACCCTTCTATATTTAGAAATCTATCTTTGCATGTGGTTAAATAAAATTATTGCTTCTGCATCATCATGTTTTTGGTAAAGAAATGAAAAAAACCTTGTTTAGTGTCAATTTTTTAAAGCTATAAAAGTTAATATTGGGTTTTTCATTTAATGCTCATGAACTTTGATGCCCTACTGTATAAATAATTTTATTTATTAAATAGTGTTGTATAAGCTTAAAAGTAGAAATAAATCTATAAAGTTAATGTAAAATACACATAACAAAATTAAAATAAGTTTAAATAGCACACTGTCACTAATACATATTTGAATCTTTATTGTTAAATACATAAGGCTTCACAGTTTTTAACTCTAGCGTTATAAAATATAAATGCAACAGTAATATAAAAGGAACAAATTTATTAATCTTTTCTTTTAAACACATCTATTTATTATATTTATTAAGATTTATATATATATATATAAGAGTTCAAAATGTAGAGAAAACAAGGCAAAGATTACAGAACAATGAAAGAAGGGAAAAAAAATAATAATAAAAATAACGAGAAACCGGAAGAAAAAAAAACAATCCGAATTTTCAGATTGTTTCCCCTACCCCTTCCGGTTTCTTGTTACTTTTATTATTATTTTTTCCCCCTTCTTTCATTGTTCTGTAATTTTTCCCTTGTTTTCTCTGCATTTTGAACTTATTTTATGAGTTCTATTTACTTGTAGCTTATGCATAATAAATAAAACTTATTGTTTTACTTTATTTTCTTCGTGTTTTTGTTTATTATGCTATATATAGTACCCATTATAAATTTATAATCAGTAAAAACTAACATTTTATCTGACTTTTATCTTCACTAAAATTAAACTGAAATAAATATTTAATGGTCTTCCATATTTATATAATAGCATGAATAGAAAGTGAAATTAAAATTACATATAATTATAAAGAGTATCAGTTACTTATCCCATTTTCAAAGATTTAACCGTAGAAAAAAAAGATTTCATTTTTAGATAACTAATTTTAACTTTATATTTTTATTTCAAGAAACCAATTGGTCTATAAAATTATGAAAAAAAGCATGTATAAACATTTTTAGCTTATTTTTTTAAAACTAGAGAATAAAACTTTAAATTTGTTAATGAACCGCTTAGTAGAAGAAAAAAAATTGTTTTCAATTTTTTTTAAACATATGTTTAAAAGAAACAGTATAAATTATATTCAAATTAAATCTTAAAAATAATATTTAAAAAATCTTAAAAACAATATTTTATTCTTTAATTATTTTTTAATGGTGATATAAACTTTCTCAAAATAGTTAAAAATTGGCAGCAAATGTTAAGAGTTACCATAAAAGTCAAAACAGTTTTAATTATTGAAAAGGTTACTTTTTTAAAGGTTAATTTTTCTTTATTATTGTTATCATACAACAGATTCAAAGTGTCCACATTTCTTAGATGGCTATTCACTTTTATGAGTTTTGTAGCTTTATCTATTTCATAGTTTACTCCAAATAAAACCGAAAGTTGAAAAGTGTCTTTCAATGGAAGCAGAAGATGCTGGTGCTGAGTGTAAGAAAGAAAAAGAAAATTGTCAGAAATTTTGTGCAAGCTTGGAATTTTTTTCACTTTTTTTGCCATAATTTTGCACTATTTTTGTGTTTAAAACTGTTGAATAATACTGTCAAGCATTATCGATTTTGGAAAAAATTCAGCATCGGAAGTTATGGGGGCCATAACACCTGGAGGAAATTCTGGATGATGATTAGAAAGCCAGTTTTCTGCTAATTAAGTTGTCCTCTTGTTTCGATATCCATGATGTATGCTAATAAATGAGATGGCTGAATGATCTGCTGGGATCTTTTAACAAAATGTGGTTCTGATTCATCCATATTTCAACAGCTTCTGAAATTGAAGTGTTTTCTGATTGAAGCATATTCAAAGCTTTAGAAACAATTGATAAATGTTTTTCCAAATTTATAGCTTCTAGGCAAAGATCAACATTATTTAATATTTTTGAATATTTTGAATTTAATACTTTTATTGAATCTATTTTGATGTTCAAGAGCAATCTCATGATTTCACTGGTAATTATTGGCAAAAGCTTTTACACAGTCACAATATGAACTCTATCTAAAGCCCCCTCCAATAAAACATAGGCAGGTTTTATCAAAGTGGGCCCACTTGGCGAGCCCTGACTTGTATGAATGGAAACTATTAAAATTCTAAAAAATTTATGTTTGTCATTCTTGTTCAAATTTATTACCTTATTTAAGGAGAAGCTGGTAAGTTAGTTTGCAATGGATGTTAATTAAGTGTCTTATTTATCTCATTATAAAATTTGTAATGCTCATAAATTAAAGTATTTAAAGATAATTATAGTGCTGTTCTAAACCGTTAAAAGAATGTTTAATTTCCTTTAAACTTTTAAGATTGTTCAACACAAAAAGTTATGTCATTTGACCTGCCTTTTTTCCTTTGTCACTTTCTCTTTATGCTGTTCTATCAGGAAATATTTATGGGGTTGTTTTTCATTCTAACTTGCTTTTGTATGTAGAGATGCCAACCATTAAGATTTATCTACAATCATTTATCTCATTTATCTTTAATCATTGATTTATTATCAATAATCATATTTAATGAAAAATTGAAGATTTTTCTTGACAATTTCATTGTTCAGATGACAGTCTTACAATCGAGTAATAAAAATTATGGTTTTTAGAAAAAGTAATCTGTTTAAAATGTCATTTTTTTCTTAATTATTAAGAGTTAAGAAATTTTAGTGTAAATAGATATTCTATGATAAATTGCCTCTGCCTCTCTCAAAACTATTGCTAATAGCAAGAAATAGTAAAAAGATATCTAGAAACAAGAAAACAAAAATTGATAGAAGCAAAAAAGCAGGATATCTAATCACCCTTTCACAGCTTTTTTTTTTTAACTGATTAAAGTAAAAAATAAAAGTGCTTGATGTATCACATGAGACATGTTATTAGTTAAATTCATTTTGTTTTTTAAGCTAAAAATGTCAGTGATATACATTTTTTAATTTGAAACCTTTACTAAAGTGTTATTTTTTTTATTTAATCGTAAATAACAATTTTATAATTCATGTACCCTTTATGTACTTTTATAAACTTTAGTAATAAAAACATCTTAAAATTGTATTAGTGTTTAATTTCCATAAACTTTCAGTGCTATTGTACTTCTGAATACTGATAACCAGTGTATAAATAATAGCTAGTGTACCTCTGCAAGTGTATAAATGTTTTAAGTAAAATCACATTGATTCAATAGGAGCCTGAAGGAAAAGTTGAATCTTTTGGTTAAAAGAAATTATTATGAGCATCAACAAGAAGGTATGACATGAGGTTTGGAAAAAGGCAAAAAGGATCACAAACAAATCAAGTAAAACCAATCTGCATGCATACAAGATGATTCAACCAGGCAGGCTACCATGTCCGACTACAATTCTGTCTTCACTGTTTCATCTGGTAAGTAAGATTTATGCTGATAATTAGTGTAATATTTTTAGCATATTGCATTAGTCTATACAATTTAAACATTTTAATTTTAGTGGAAAACATTTAAGAATAAGAATTTTTCAAAGTAGTTTTTTTCAAGAAATAAAAGTAATTTTTCTTCATTTCGAAGGACATGTATTGTCCTAAATTCTTATATATCAAGAGATCGTGTGAAGTCATTTTAATTGACAATCACGAATTTTTTTATTAAGGTTTTTTAACTGTCCAAAAAAATTAGACCGACTGCAAATCTTAAATAATAAAAACAAATATATGAGCAACATAGCTCTCAAGTGAAAGGAAGAAAGCACATTATGCTTCAAGTTTAAATGTTTATGAGCTTTTTACACATTCTTCCATGTATACAAATATAAAAATGTATTTATATGTTGCAACTATAAATGTAAAATACCTGGTTTTTTATAACTTGGGGAAGTTTTACAAAACTATGTATATTTTGAGGCACAATTGAGCTTTATTTGCATTGTCAAATAGTTAATTCATTATTAACTTTGAAGAAAAACTCATTTAGTCAAGCCTTTTTTATCTCATTCAGTCAAGCCTTTTGTATCCCATTCAGCCAACTTTAAATTCACATTTCTGTTCATAATTTCCAATATTTGTAACTTATGATCACAAATGATGAAAGTTTTGCCAGAAATATATTTTTGAACTNTGTTCATAATTCCCAATATTTGTAACTTATGATCACCAATGATCATCATTGATTTCATCAATGATGAAAGTTTTGCCAGAAATATATTTCTGAACTGCAAAATTTATTCAAGTTAAGTAATTTGTTTTGAAAAAGTTTATCATGCAAATCTGTTTTGGAATATGAATTATCCAAAATGCCTTATTTGATTCATTTCTGTTGTGATACCTTTCTGAATAATAAATGTCTGCGTTAAATTGGCTGTAAAAATTTTTGAGTTTCTACATCTTTATTACTAATAAATTAAAAGTAATGTAGCTTAATATAAGTATGATTTTCAAAGGGATATAAAATATATGCTACATGTTTAAATATTTCTGTATATCAAGTTTGAAAGAGATCATGAAATTTCTACCCCATTGAAATAAAACTAATCTGGGGGAAAAAAACTTTGCCCCCTATTAAAATTGTATGTTTAGCTTATTGAGATACTCTAAGCAAGGATTTATATATTTTACTATGTAAATAGCATAATAAATAGTTTTTTATATTTAATTTTATTATTTTATTCCTAATCTTTCAGAAAGAGAGAGAAAATTTAATAATTCTTACAGGAATGAAGAAAGAGTATTTAATTTTTTTTTTATTTAAATACATATCATTTATTGCTTTTCTCTTGAATTTTTTATTTTATTTCATTTCATAGGTTAATTGCTATAAACTTAACTGTGATTAGGACATAAAAAGTGAAATTGCATATAACAAAAGCATTGAAATCAATAATAATTAATTGGAATTAATTTTATTTGCATTAATATCTTTTATGCCTTTGTTTAGAATGAAGTATAGAATACAAAAGATGCATGTTTGCCTTTTCTTCTTGGGCTAAAAATTATGAAATAAATCATATTACCAATTACAAGATGTATTTTTAATACAAAACACAAGATATTTAATTTTAAAAATATTTAATTACAATTTAATATTCACTACCGCAAACTTTATTGAATTTACCATTACATTTCTGGATCTTGTCAATTTCTCCTAGTCTATTGGTTTAAGGAAAATTCTCTTCGTTCTTGAATATAATAAAAACTCCCTAAAATTGAGTAAGTTTCCCTAAAAAAATCCTGATGGAAATAGAATTTTTACACAATTCATTGCTTACTTGAATATTCAAATAAGTATTACTTACACATAGTGAAGTGAATCTCATTCTTAAGTATTTTGTTTATTTTAATTCAGAACTTTCCTTTTAAATTAACTAAAAATCTTTTGACTATTAATAATAAATTACTTGTCTATCACTATTTAAAATTCTACTAAAAACATTTCAAGTTCATTTAATATCAATCATAACTGGAAAATATTGTAGACCATTTATAGCTATAAGTATAATAAAGTTTTTATATTTTGATGTCAAAATATTTCTAAAATTCTTTATATGTAAAATATTTAGTATCTCATGCAACAGTTATCATAAAATTTAAATTTTGTGAAATCTATTGGATTTTTTTTCTATCAATGTTGGTAGTTATGAATATTAAATTGAAAATAGTAAATGAGATTTTAAAAGATACTAGCTGAATTCCCGTTCTTCGCATAGGGATATAACAAAATATATCTTTCTTATAACAAAATATACTTTTTTTCTCCTAAAGGAAACGAATCAATAAATCAGTACTGAGAACACAACGCAATCATGCTGAAAACTAAATGGCATATACAACACAATTAAAAAGCTTAATGGAAGAACCAGGTGAATGACAATTTTAAGGGAATTAATAAATTAGAAAAAATAGCAAAGTTTTTGTGTCAATATGGGTATGTTTAATGTAATAGAACTGTTTTTGCTTTTTTCTTACGAAATCAATAAATATTAGCTTTTAGTATGCTTGCATGATTTTTTATTTCAAATACTTGGCAATGGTAAATAAAAGGAAGCAAGAAATTATTTGTCCATTCATACCATTGTAAACCATACCATTGAAATAAAAATAAAAAGTACTTAGTATACTTAGCACTTGGCATACACTATCTTAGCTACCAGTGGAAAAATATTTTCTGAAACTATTGAAAATCTGTTGTAGAATTTTTATCAAAACCACTTCACAAATCACCATAATACCAGTAATACACATTACCGTCAGTGATAAATATGTATTAAGCCTCATTTGTGAGAGGTTATTTTTTAAAATTTTTTAAATAAATTCTTCTCTTAAGCTTCCCTTCTTGAGCTTGACTTTTTTAGCACATAGCTTATTTTATTTTATTTTAATTAATACACATTATTAATTAAGCACATAGCTTATTTTATTATAATTAAAACACATCAGTATTAGTTGAAGATTGGTGTCAATAATAACTTGCTGATTTTTTACGGTTGCTCAAAACATGAATAAATATCTTTTCTCTTTATTTTTGCTTTTTAGTTCATAAGTTATTATTTTTTTAATTTCAGTTAAAACATATTACCAACATTAATTAAGCAATTATTGTCATCAATGATAGTATGATGATTTGTTACATTTCTTCTAGAAAGCTAGCAATTATCACTAATGTTATCTTTTAAAATATTTGAAAAATTGAATCGTTAAATTTATGACAATGGTTATTGCTTAACAAATCAAAAAATTCAGTTTTGTTCTTCATCATCCCACTCAAATGGTTTGTCAGAGAATGTTCTAATGTCAACATTGACCTTCCTCAATCTTTGAACTATCTGTTTCCCAAGTTTCATAACTTTCGGTCAGATGGTTTAGGAGTGTATAAAGGACACACACACACAATAATTTTTATACATTACGGAACCCGTTATCCGGAAGTCAGAAAGCCGGTAAACCAAAAAACCGGAATGAAATTCGATAAATTTTCCTGCCATTTAAAAAAAAATTTTTTTTTTCCTCATAAGATTTCAGAATTTTTCTTTCTTTTTTGAAAGATGTTTACCTTACCATCATTTTGCAAATAATCATTAGTGTATTACTTCATAGTTTTTTCTTCTTTTTAAAATTATTTCCAAATATTTTTTTAGTAGAGTTTGACAGTAAAAAAACGGCTTTTTGTAGCGATTCAGAAAACCGTAAAAATCAGTTATCCAGAATAGCTATTGTCCCGATCGTTCTGGATAATCGGTTCCCCACTGTATATGCAGATGACTACCTTCAGTAAATTTAACTACCTTTTGGTTAATTTTATGAATTGCCTTTAGTTTGACGAAAAACTCTGTAATATATTAAAGCTATCTTGCATAATACAATATTTCTTTTGACTGAATTGAAATTTTGAAATTTCACAAATATGACTGATGTTTAATAATATAATTATTCTCATTATTTTAATAAAAATAGAATTAATACAGATGAAAGCTAAATATAATCTTGAATTTTTTTCTTAAAAAAATAATAAATAAAAAACTGCAAATTTCTTTTAAATGAAATAATTTTATGAATAAATTTAAAATGAAATTTATTGTTTTAGTTATATCACTTATATTAAATTTACAAACTCACCCTAAATAAACAAAACCTGTTTAAAAACTTAGTTTCAACGAATTTCATAATTCTCTCTAATTAATTCTCTGTGATAATTGACAATCTCTTCCATTTAATAAAATTTATCTAATTCAATTGAATAAAAAAAAATTTCCTCAAAATGTGCCAATTTTACTTTATTACATTAAACATTGCTAACCTTTTTACATTACTTTTTTAATGCAAATATGAATCATTTTAATCAACATTGTATCATATAGTCTTTTAAAGTATTTATTCTGAAACTCATATATAAGTTTCAAGTTTATTTGTGAAAATTAAATATAAAATTATATTATTCTCCGAACTATAAGCAAAACAAATCTTGTTTACACACCTAAAAATAAAAAAAATCTAAAACCCCCGGTTTTGGGTATTCATCCAATGCGAAAGTAAATGCTTGGGTAAATACCCTACACCTTGGGTATTTACCCGACCCACATCTATAGTAGCAGCCTCAATAAATCAAACCTCATCTCAAATATAAAAGTATTTTTGAAGATTTTTCTTTCAAATTTTTTATTACAAAATCAAAAGATTTATCCCTTGTTATAAATTTAAGAAAAAATCATTTATTGCAATTTTTTTTATAAACTATAAATCAGTTAATTTGAAGGAAAAAAAATAATGTAATTTTTTTAATGAAACAAGAGGGAAAAAATATTTGATGTTTCCTTTCATTATTCAATTTAGTTTATGCTTGCTCTATTAATATATTACTACCTAATTCATACACAGTTTCAATGGTCTATTTACTTGTCTCTATTTGAATTTTTTTTTAAAATTATTAGTGTGAATGTTAAATAGTGTTTTCATCATAGATAGGATAATATAGTGTTTTCATCATAGAAAAAAAATGGGTGAGGTTTTCTCACCCTTTCTTTAAAACAGGGTAAGATTTCTAAAAACTAAAAAACACAAAAACTCTTGAAAAAAAAATCATTTCTTCAGATGAAAGATCCAGGAAGAAAAGTGAAACGGATTATATTCTAAATGGCGTAATTCTGAGCTTTTTCCAAAATGCGAGAAATTCGCGAATTTTGAAATCGATGTATAGAATGCTTGAATTTCTAGCTGTAATAATTTTTTAATGCGAGAAAAGAAAAAAATGCGAGATTCTCGCTTTGTAGTGGAAACACTGTAATGATATACTATAGAATATGGACAATAATAGAATATGGAATTGTCAAGTGGAACTTCATTCCTAACAATGAAGAAATATTCTATTTTGCACTATATACTATTTTTTATTATTTCAAATCATATAACTAAGACAGCTTACCGTTCGTTAACAATGATTGCTGCTCAGGGAGGCCATGGATTATTTATTTTATGATGGTTGGATTTATGATGATAGTCTCGGGCCATCATTAGTTTTGAGCCCTGGTTGTAATTTTTTCAATTAAATATATCTTTCCGTTAATCTTAAATTGCTGACAATAACTTAGAATGTTAAAAATTTTTGCCTTGTATAATTGGAAACTCTGTTGCTTTGTCTCCAGTTCAAGTTCAGATTAATTTAAATTCTATGGTATTAATTATTTTAATTAAAAATAAAAAATAAATTAATCATATTTTCATGTTTTAATCAAATGTTTTGGCCTTTTATTAAAATTAAATTTCTTTTCAGGTTCTGCTCATTCAGTGCTTGCTCCATATTGGTCTAAAACTCTACAACATAATTCTTTTTGTGGTATGTAAAATATGTATTTGTAGAATTTTTTTTCTTTAGTCTAATTATTGGGGTGCACCACCTGCGATCCGCTGACTGTTGATGTGCGGCCTGCAAGAGCTTCTGAACGCAATAAAAAGTTTCTTTTAATTTGGTTTTTGCTTAAACATTATGATTTTTCTTTAATTAAANGAAATTCGCGAATTTTGAAATTGATTTATAGAATGCGCGAATTTCTCGCAGTAATAATTTTTTAATGCGAGAAAAGAAAAAAATATGCGAGATTCTCGCTTTGTAGTGGAAACACTGTAATGATATAATATAGAATATGGACAGTAATAGAATATGGAATTGTCAAATGGAACTTCATTCCTAACAATGAAGAAATATTCTATTTTGCACTATATGCTATTTTTTATTATTTCAAATCATGTAACTAAAACAGCTTACCATTCGTTAACAATGATTGCTGGTCAGGGAGGCCATGGATTATTTATTTTATGATGGTTGGATTTATGATGATGGTCTCGGGCCATCATTAGTTTTGAGCCCTGGTTGTAATTTTTTCAATTAAATATATCTATCTGTTAATCTTAAATTGTTGACAATAACTTAGAATGTTAAAGATTTTTGCCTTGTATAATTGGAAACTCTGTTGCTTCTATTATGTTGTCTCCAGTTCAAGTTCAGATTAATTTAAATACTATGGTATTAATAGTTTTAATTAAAAATAAAAAATAAATTAATCATATTTTCTTGTTTTAATCAAATGTTTTGGCCTTTTATTAAAATTAAATTACTTTTCAGGTTCTGCTCATTCAGTGCTTGCTCCATATTGGTCTAAAACTCTACAACATAATTCTTTTTGTGGTATGTAAAATGTGTATTTGTAGAATTTTTTTTCTTTAGTCTAATTATTGGGGTGCACCACCTGCGATCCGCTGACTGTTGATGTGCAGCCTGCAAGAGCTTCTGAACGCAATAAAAAGTTTTTTTTAATTTGGTTTTTGCTTAAACGTTATGAATTTTCTTAAATTAAAATATTTAATTCAAATTTATATTACTCAATAAAATGCATATATTTTTGGATCTTTCATTCTTTAAGCTTCTTTTTGGTTAGAATTTGTATTTTCCCCTCCAATATTTATGTATGCATATTTATTTGATACATTAATTATTGTGAAAAATAGAAAAAGTTTTTTTAAAAAAAAGTATGTTTTTTTTTTTTTAGTTTTAAATAAATTAAAATTGTTAAAAGTATTTAATTTTCTGCAAATATGTTATTAAGTTTACTGATAAAACTATTGAGTGCTTCATAATGCTTAGATTAAAATCATTATATTTGCAACTGACATGACTAAATATGAGTGCGGCCCTTTGTTATCTACCTGCCATGCAAGTGGTCCTTCACTTAAAAAGGTTGAGCACCCCTACCTTATTTTCCTGTTGAAGAAAAAAAAAATTGTGAAGTAAAATTTCTTTATATGTAACTAAATATATATACTTTATTTGCATAGAAGTGCATGATAAAGTAACTCTCTTTGGTAATTTGGCACTGAAGCAATTTTCTTTCATTTTAAATTTGATCAAGTAATGCTTTGTAAAATAAAAACATGCTTAACAGTTAAAATGCCTCTTGGCATACTTTTTTTTGTTAGTCCAAGGCAAGGAATTTGGTTTTGTTACATTAACAGTGTTTTTTAAAGCTCTTTCACAAAGAAGATTAAAAAGTTGACCACCGCCTTACAATCTAAGAGAATTTATAATTATATGCACTTGTGAAGACAAAATTCAGGTGTGGTTGGAAGTTGTATGGTATAATTGACTAATTGAAGATAGTGATAAAAAACAGGATAATGAAAGTTGAAGATGTAAACTGGATCATAAATAATAAAACTTGTATTTAGTAGTTATTTGTAGAGCTCAAGATACAAAATTTATATTCTATCAATAAGACTTTTAGCTAAATAAATTTTGCATAATATAATATTAATAAGGGCAGGCTATAGGGGATAAATCTCCCATGACCTACCTAATCAAAAGCCAAATTAAAAAGTAATTGAATTGTTCCCCACAGACAGTTAGAATCATGAGAAGAAATCCAAAGTTGGTGGTTTATCAAAAAATAACATAGCCGAAAATAAAGCCAACCCCCCATGATCTATATTAGGTTTGAAAAATACCGTGGCAATCCCAAATCGCAGTCTTGTTGGGACTGTGAGAATTAGTATAACCGTGTAATTTAAACATATTTGAAGTAAGAAATTTAGGAATGAAGAGTTATAAATAATTAAAAAAAAATTGATTAGGCGCAACGGTGAATTAATGAATCTACATTAGTATTGAAATAAAAAGTTAGTCGTTACATTGATCAATGAGAAAAGAATAAAATATTTTATATTCGCCATTATAAAAATTAACTAATTGATTTAATTATAATTTGATTAAGAATGAGTAAAAAAAACAAGTTTAAGAAATTAAAGAAATTTTAAAAGTTATGAAATATGTGATGCCCATTGTGGCCTGACAACACTATCTTGCTCTAGTGAGTTATCCTGACTTAGAATGAGAGAAAAATTTGAATATTTTAAAAGTTATTCAGCTTTTCTAAATCTTAGTGAGATTTTTATGAATGAAAATTATTTGAATCAAAGACTTATTGTTAGCTCAGATAATGTAGCATTGTTCAAATATTAAAATATAAAACTTTCACAAAAATGTGTCTTTACTTCTTATTGATGTTTTACATCGTTTTCAGAACTAGCATGGATAATAATATTGGCTAAAGATAGGTCAAACATGGCCGGGGCTCCCATGGGCCTATTACAGTTATTATCCCTGATGGTTACAAATTATTGTAGCAATTTTAATAAATAAAATGATACAAAATGCAAAGGTATTAAAAATACTTAAGTACATTTTTAATGAATTTCCATTTAACATTAAATAAAATATTAAAATTCAAAATTATTACACAAAAAACGGCCAAAATTTTAGCATCTAAAATTGTGTATACAATTCAACGTACTAAATTTAAATTAAGATTGTAAAATAAATAAAAATGACATTGTATTATTCTATTTTCATTTCTGTCATTAGGAATCTCAAGCTGTCATTACAATTCTTATACAAATTTTAAGATGTATGCGCTTAAGATGTATTTTCATATGTTTACAAATTTTAAGATGAATGGTAATAGTATAGTTTAAGATGTATGGACATTTTTTTTATTTTACCCTGCAGCATAGCTGCCAACTCTACTGGATCTACCAGCAGACTACTGGATTTTGCCATTTTCTTCTGGCTTTTCTCCTGATTTTTGTACATTTTAGATCTATAATTGAGTTTTCAAAAAATCGCCCGTTAAAATAGAGATTTTACTCAATTTATTGCTAGGTTGAATATTTTAAAAAGTATTACTAATACATGATGAAATGGACCTCGCAGGAATCAGTTTAAGGCTTTTCTTTTTCTTTACTCTAAAAATTTTTTTCTTTTTTTCAAAACTCCCTTTTTAAATTAAATTTTTTAACTATCAATAATTATTTACTTGTCTACTATTATTTAAAATTATGAGTTAACATAAAAAAATCTCGAATTCATTTAATACCAATTATAAAGAAAAAATATTGCAGACCATTTATTATAAAAATAGCTTGTTATTCAGAAAAAAAAAAGAGTTTTATTTCATTTGAGGACAGAGTCTTTTAAAAATACCCTAAAACTTAATCAGGGCTGATTGTGCTCCGGAAAAAATCTGGATTTCCGGATATTTCTCTAACCGTGATTCGGAAGTTTCCGGAGATCGAAGGTTCAGATGTTTCAAAAAATCACTGATCACAAAAGTTTTCGGAAATCAAATTTTCAAAGGCGGAACTTAAAAACGCAGTTTACTTTATTTGTTTGTAAGGAGAGCTACTTTATAAGCTTATATTCAAGATTAATATTCATTTTTTATCAGTAAATAGTTATTATAATCATAAACTCAAGAAAGAAAGACAAATTTGTAAATTTCAATTACTTCTGTAAGTCATCATAGGTATGTGTAAAATCTTAAATGTATTTTATGTAAACTAAATTAAGTGTAACTTAAGTAAACTAAGTACAAAAACACCTTGATTAAATTTTTTTCTAATGTTTCGATTTAAACTTTTTTTTTTTTTACTCGAGAAATTTTCCGGAATTTTGACTTGGGCTCACAATCACCCCTGAAGTCCTCCACTAAGGCAAATTTCTTCTAATACTTTATCCGNTTACAAATTATTGTAGCGATTTTAAAAAATAAAATGATACAAAATGCAAAGGTATTAAAAATACTTAAGTACATTTTTAATCAATTTCCATTTAACATTAAATAAAATATTAAAATTCAAAATTAATACACAAAAAACAGCCAAAATTTTAGCATCTAAAATTGTGTATACAATTCAATGTACTAAATTTAAATTAAGATTGTAAAATGAATAAAAATTACATTGTATTATTCTATTTTCATTTCTGTCATTAGGAATCTCAAGCTGTCATTACAATTCTTATACAAATTTTAAGATGCATGCGCTTAAGATGTATTTTCATATGTTTACAAATTTTAAGATGAATGGTAATAGTATAGTTTAAGATGTATGGACAATTTTTTTATTTTACCCTGCAGCATAGCTGCCAACTCTACTGGATCTACCAGCTGGATTTTGCCATTTTCTTCTATCTTTTCTCCTGATTTTTGTACATTTTAGATCTGAAAATGAGTTCTCAAAAAATCGCCCATTAAAATAGAGATTTTACTCAATTTATTGCTGGGTTGAATATTTTAAAAAGTATTACTAATACATAATGAAATGGACCTCGCAGGAATCAGTTTAGGGCTTTTCTTTTTCTTTGCTCTAAAAATTTGTTTCTTTTTTTCAGAACTCCCTTTTTAAATTAAATCTTTTAACTATCAATAATTATTTACTTGTCTACTACTATTTAAAATTATAAAAAAATGTCGAATTCATTTAATGCCAAAAATATTGAAAATAAAGAAAAATAAAGAAAAAATATTGCAAAGAATAAATAATAAAGAAAAAATATTGCAGACCATTTTTAGACATTATGGTAATAAAGGTTTTGTATTTTGATGACAATAAAAATCCCTAAAATTCTCTATATGTAAAATATTTAGTATATTATGCAGCAGTTACCATGAAATTTATAATATTTCTTATCCATCTTGATTGCTGTTCTGAAGGAAACAAATATTGTTACTCAGGGTGGCCACCCACCTGGAAAACCTTGAAAACCTGGAATTATCAGGGAATTTTTTTATACTGGAAAAAACCTGGAAATATCAGGGAAATTTGAATAAAAACCTGGAAAAATCAGGGAATTTTAAAGAAGACCTGGAAATTTTTTCTTTGATAATTTTTTTAATTTCACTAATTTAAATTATTTACTAATTTTCTTAATTTAAATTATTTCATCCCTTTTTTTAAACGGAAATGTATTGCTAAACTGTTGAAATATCATCAACTTAGCAATACTTTGCTTGCATCAAAATTTGCTCCATTACAGCTCCGTNATAACTTGAGCTGAGATCCTAAAGTATTTGTACTCAGTTAAAACTTTACATAGTACTGCCCTGATATCTTGTGTCCGGTCATTCTAGACTAGCTCTCTGTCAATTTACATAAAGGAAAGTCTAGGATTTCAATATTGAACAAAATTAGTCATGAAATGTCATGATTTTAACTATTTAAAAGAAAAAAATCATGGAAAGTTCATAGATTTAGGTGGCCAAAAAATTATATTTTTTAAAACGGAATCCCCCTTCCCCAATTTCACAGATTTCCTATGATCCAAATATCTGAATTAGTAACAAAATCCCCACTCACAGTCAGATTTCAATAAGATATAAAATGTTTTTTTTTCCTTTCCTGTTCTTTATTAAATTATGGTGTTCTTTGAAAAAATGAAAGAAAGAACAACATTTCTAGAAGGAATTATCTTTTAAACTCCAGTGATTCAGAAGGGCTTAAGGATTTTGAACTATAATTTCTTTTTAATAAAAAATAATTAGGAAAGAATGAAATTATTACTTGAGAGTGGTTATAAATGACATATTTTTCGACTCTTGCGCAGTGATACTGAGATTTTTTGGTTTAGGTATTGTTACAGAAATCCACCTATTAAATTTTAGACCTATTAAAATTTTTTTAAATGATTTAAGTCTTAAAGAAATATTCAATGCTAATAGTTTTAAATTTAGTGTTTTCAATGTAAAGTTTAACTTTTTTTCTCTTATAATTTTAGCTTCGTCTGGGCTGCTGGATAATGCAAATGGAGAATGACATTCTGGTAGAATACGAGGGCCCGTAAGTTCAATCCTGGCAGAAAACAAAACAACTGATGTGTATAT